AGCCGGTGGCGTTCATCATGGACCCCGCGGACATGGTGGGCATGGGGGCGACGCTCCAGGAGGAGGCGCCGGCGGGCATCATGGAGGAGGGCATGGCGGAGAGGGTGGAGGTGGCGGATTTGGGTTCCTGGAGGTCGTCGTCGTACCGGGCGCAGACGGCGTCGTGGGCCAGGGGGCAGTCCTCCGCGACGCAGATGCTCTGGAGCTGGGGGCCCTGGGCCTTGACCGCGGTGGCCGGCGGCGCGCACCGGTACCCGAACAGCGTGTTCAGCGCCGCGCCCACCGCCTTGACGTCGGCGTCGGCCACCCCGAACGACGCCGCCGCCAGCCCCACCTGCTGCACGAAGTACCCGAACTCCGCCGCGTCCAGGTCCATGAACTTGTGCACCTCGTACATGGACGCGTGCCCCGTGTACGCGTCGAAGCCCGGCATCCCCTGCTCCGTGCAGCCCAGCAGCGAGCCGAAGAACTGGTACAGGTGGGTGAGGAGGAAGCTGGGGGGGGTGCGGTCAGTATCTGCTCTCTGGGAACGTCCTCGGTGTGGTGAAAGCGCAGCGGTGAGGAAGGAGGAGGAGGAGGAGGAGGAGGAGGAGGTATGTCTGGCGAGGTATATACGTACTACTGCTGGCAGCTGTCGTTGTCGGCGGGCTTGTTCATCATCAGGGGCTCGGCGCCGCCGCCGTCGAGGAAGTTGACGGCGACGCCCGAGTCGCCGCCGCGGTTGCTCGAGGCCAGTTCGCCGTTGAAGTAGGGCAGGAGGTTGACCTTCTCCCCGTTGTACTCGCCGGGCGCAAGGATACCCGGGACCTTGATGCCGACGTTGGGCATGGTGTCTGTTCGGATGGCGTCCCGTTAGACTCTCTTCTCTGAAGTGCCACCACGCTGCGTATTTGGATTCTGCTTACAGTTGCCGATGACGACGGTGTTGACCACAAGGGTCAACAGGGTAGCCTGGTTCTCCGCCGTGTTCTCCTTCAGGAGAGCCTTGGTGTAGTAGTCACAGATGGGAGTGTCGGATGGGCGCTGGGCGCTGGCGGTGCTGGCAGCGGCGGCCACGGCAAGAGTGTTGGAGAAACGCATGTTGGCGAGATGTTCGGGGGACTGCTGTTACCAAAGGCTTGCTGATGACTAGGGTCTAAGAACACAACCTTTCCAGACAGTCGAAAACGCTCTTTCTATAGGAAGACGGCAGTACTTAAGAACAGACAGGCCATGATCTCGGCAGGTGATTTGATCATATCAACTTCACCTTGCAAATACCTGGTCATCTGGGCATTGTGAGCTCGCGCTTGCAGTGCCGTTAGCGTGCGGCCATGTGCGGCCATAATCTGGTGGCATTCGCTGGCGACATCCTCATCTTGTTAGATTCGTCGATCTCGATGCCCGGAACACTGACATCCGGCGAGGTTCATTGTCTGGGTTGCCCTCTACCTTCGCCTTCTTTCAAACGTAGTTAGACTCGCGCGGTAAGGAATGGACTAAGATGACGATAGCCGGTGACCAGTCTGAGCGGGCTAGGGCGTTGATGCGGAATGCACAGTCCCACGCTTTCGCTCATGTTTGAACCATCGACAGCAAGGACAGGCAAGACAGGCGCCATTTGAAATACTTCTGGTCGCCTGCCTTCGCATGGAGGAGCCATTGAGTGACTGTCTCTGATACGTGAAGCAGCTACGACAGAGGCAAAAAAGGAGTGACCTTTCAGCAGGAGTTTCCGATATCAAGCTATTGCAAACATGCGCAAGCTTTTCCGTACCTGCATTGGTCCCGTAGGCAGTTCAATATTCCGTGGAGATGTTCTGCAGCTGTCACCGCCGCGCGGGGTTCACATCCAGGGACACTAGACGCCAGGCGTAAGGGGGGGGGGGGGGGGGGCGCGAACCATGAACTCAGTTGAAAAGGGGTGAAGACACCACCAGGCCAATCACCATTTCGGGTTTTCCAATAGCCTCGAGTCCAGTATCCATACCCGTCCCTCCCTCCGAGTCCCAGATCGCGGGTGATGGCCAATCCGGCAATTGACTAGCCTGGTCGGAATGAAGATGGCATGCCAGTAGGGCTAGAGCGGCAGTACCTAGGGCCCAGGCTAACCCCAAGCCTGCGCTAGCATTCCCCGGATTTTCCAGCCTAACAGTTCGGGACGCACGCCTCCCGCCGGCTGTCGCCGTTCCGGGTGCTGGATAACAAAACACCAATCTAACTAGCAGTCGATAGGCTGTCCAAGACATGTTCGGGCCTGCATAGGGCGCGGTTACAGCGGCAGCGGTAGCGTGGCTCCCACCCTACCGTTGCTGGGAGTGAGACACCGGAAGCGAATAGGGGCAGATTGAGGTATGTGCACCCAACCTTGCGTCATGAAGACAACGGTGAATGAGCAGCTAAGCCACTGGGCGGTCAGGGTAGTACACGAGACTCTGCGGTAGCTTGCATCTCACATGTGACCTTCTCGTCCATCCTGCCTTGGAGGTCTCCAAGTCTGCCTGGATGAAGGCAGTACTTTGATCCGAGATGATGGCGAGCCATCGAAGCCATCGTCCGTGCTGGCCTATCCCGCCACCACTGGGACATGGGTGAACAGTCACCGACTGTAACATTTTCACTACTATCTAGAGTTGGACACCTCTTCAGAGCTGATTACTGGCTCGAAGCCGCTTCGAGAATTGCTCGGCTGTGGACTTCGTCGTCGTCATGGCTAGCTTGACGTGAACAACCCCTAACAATTCAGCCGGAATGGCCAGCCTGAATGATAACAGGAAGCATCGAAACCGGCAGACGGGTTTTGATGTGGACTTTTCAGCTCAGCAAGTATTTATGAAGAAAAATACCCAGCCGATGGCCGGCCTTCCTGAGGACTGTTCCCATACCTCCATTCAGTATTTCCCAACTAGTCATAGAGATTTGAGCTTGCTTTGAAATCGACACCGCCAAGATGACAGTTACAATGATGATCGCGTACCCGAAAGACGCCAACTTCGACATAGAGTACTATCTCCAGAACCACGTGCCGGCACTCGTCAAAGCCTGGAAAGAGGGTGGGATGGGTGCCTGGCGGGTGACCACTGCGCAAGATGACAAGAGTCCGTACGCAACCATGTTTCAATGCGACTGGCCTGATATGGAGACATTCAACAAAACGTCAGCCGGGACCCCCGAGGAGGTGAACCAGTGGTTTCTGGAGGACATGAAGAAATACACGGACAAGATGCCCTCGATCTGGTTCATGGACAAGAAGGCTGGAGATTCCTAGAGCACAGGAAGCCCGGGCAATGGGAATGGATGTCTGGTACTTGGAACAGAAAACCGGCGAAAAGGGTGTAGAAGACGAGTGATTGCGACCTGCTTAGCACGCGCATGCTTGACACAATATGGGTAGGGAGGGGTCGCGAACGAAATCTATCATATTCTGATCATTCGTTACTTGCTCGCGCACGACTGGCAGAATTCCGCCACCTGCACGCCCCACTCCTCCTCGCGCTCGATGCCCGTGCCCAAACCAAGCTGGGGGCTGATGTGGTTGTGACCCTTGAGAACGCGGATGTCCAGGTTGGCGCTGGGCCAGGCGGCCTTCATCTCCTCGGCGGTGTCGGCCACGAATTCCGGGTCGAGCTCGCTGACGAGCACGGCGGTCTTGACGCCTGGGAGGCGGGGCTCGGCGCCGCCGGCCTTTGCCTTGGCCGCCTGCAGCAGCCCGATGGGCGAGTGCGCGTAGATCTGGCCGGCGCCGAAGTAGTTCGTCAGCACCTCGTTGTCCTCCTTGCCCCAGTGGAAGGGGACGCCCAGGTACAGCACGCCGCGGAGGGCGACCTCGTCGCCCTTCTTCCGCTCGGCCGCCAGCACCGCCTCCCGCGACGCCGCGTAGTCGGGGTGCAGCAGGTAGGTGGCGACGTGGACGCCGCCGGCCGAGTTGCCCATGAGGAACAGGTCGATCGGGCCGCCCTTAAAGCCGTCCTGCGCCGCGAGCGAGCCCACGATCCAGTCGACCACCAGGCGCACGTCCTCGCCGCCCGACGGGAACTTGGCGCCGTGCTGCAGCAGGCGGTAGTCGGGGACCACGACGGTGAAGCCGTACTTGGCCGCGAAGAAGTGGCCGATGTTGGCGAACACCACGCCGTCCGCGTAGTCGGCGACGGCCTTGTTGCCGCCCACGAAGCCGCCCCCGTAGCAGAACACCAGCACCGGCTTGGCGGCGCCCGGGTACGCAGACGCGGAGGGCGGCGACGCGTCGGGTGAGTAGTAGACGTCCAGAGCCTGCCGCGCCTCCGGGCCGTATTGGTGGGTGGACCGCCGCGTCGTGCGGATCTCGTCGGCCTTTGCGGCCAGCAGCGGCTCGTAGGCGTTGAAGGTCGGGCCGAGCACCTCGAAGATGGCGCGGCCGAGGCTGGGGAGCTTGTCCATGGCGGTAGGTAGCTTTGTGTGTGTTGCTCTCACGGAGGGTCTTGCGAGGTAAGTTTGGGGCGCTGGAAGAGAGCCATTCCTGCCTGCCTGCTTTGGAGGTGGTGGTCCTACTGTAGGTGAGCGGGAAGGTGAGAGAGTGCGGGGGTCTTCGATTCACCCGCTGCGGTCCACCACAACCCCGGCCTTGGGAATAGAGGCCGCTCGGCAGTTCTGTCCGTGTGATCGGAGAAAAGAGGAGACCAGACGCCAAGTCCCCGAAGTGACCTTGGCTCTCGTCAACAACGTTAATCTTCCGTGCAGAGGGTTCAGACAACGCAATCCACGATCCCGGCCGTCGATGCCATCCTGCCTATCCTTCGATACCTGCCCATCCCGCGAACCTTGCCCGAGAGAGTCGGCCTATCCCGGTGTTAATACTGGGGACGGATCCTGGAAATCAGCTAAGAAAATTCTGTACTCGCGTTAGTCATGGGTCATCACGATAGCTGCACCCGACAACACGGGCACTTCACGCTTGTGATGGAAGCCCACCAATCGGTCGCCGCATGGTGGGACTGCTTGATATAATGCGGGATAAACCACGACAGCTGCAACAATCACCGTAATCCGAATTGGTGTAATGGTTAACATTTGACGCTCTCAAGGCCTCTTGATCGGTTTCCGTCAAGCTCGGGGTTCGATTCCCCGATTCGGAGCACAACAGAATCGTATCTGGTAGATTCACCTTCGTTTTTGTCGGTTTTGCACGTGGAGAATGGTGGAAGCAGCGAAATCCTCGCCCTACAAAATTCTTGACACCCCTACTACGCTGGATTTTTTTTTTTCTTTTTTTTCACTCGTATCTTATCTTATCTGACCAGCTATGCGGCTGGTTACTTAAGCTAGGTACCTACTGCAGGCGCCAATCCCCCAGGTCCGCGTCTTGTATTCACCAAGGTACCTAAAGGATCTATGCGAAAGCGACGAAACCTGTACCAGTATGACACAAGCCGACCAAGTTTGAGCCGATATCATTGTCTATGAACTCATTCCACAAGCATTTTGACGATGCCATGGCCTTTCAACGGACCATGTGGTGGAGGGGAAAAGCGAAGACCCGGGTCGAAATGCCCCATCCATTTGCTGGTGTCAGACTGGACGATGAATGACTTGATGTTCACAAGGGCTTGGAGGCATATGTCTGGACATTATTAGACATGGCAAAACGCCCCTCGAGATACCCCATCCTGATTTTTTACTCCATCGATACCATCAATCCCTGCTTATGGAGAGGTCCCGGCCTGGAGCTACACCACTGCTCCGTCGCGGGGTGATACGCGACAACAATGACGGATAGACAAGTACGGACCGAAAGCCTCCTTGGTCCGTGGCCCCATTCCAAAGTCGTACGTGCAGTTCTAAAGTGCGGTGACTTGATGCTAAAGCCGAACAATGGCTTCATGGTCAGGTCCTAGTCGCGGCCATTCGGACCTTGCGGGATGGAGAGCTTCTTGAAGGAGGCTGTAGATCGGGCTTCATGGCACACCTTGCAAGTGCACTTGTATCGATGGTCGTATCGTTCACGAGGACTGCAATCTCATGGTGGCCTGCTAGCATGGTTGTAGCAGTGATGACAGGTCGTTCCCCAGTGACCGCCTGTAGGTGCTGGTCTCTCGCATCCATCTGTCTTGAGTTCGTCGGAATGAGGTAAACTTGCCCCCTCATGAGTCTGCGCCCTGGTGAAGTGAACATCTCGAGGATTTCCCGTGGAATGTTTCCAGTAATCGTGACTGTCCCATCATCGGCCTAAGTGGCGACGATGAGCGAGGCCCGGGACCGCAGTGCCACGGTTCGGCACGGCATCTGCCGGGCACCTTCCGGCGTCCGTACCTACTCCACCTACCTTGGCATATAGGCCATTGAGGCATACATACCCAGCTCCCGGCGCGAGCAGATCATTCGCAACGATGATGACTGGAACAAGATCAAGGTCAGCGGGGTGCCGGTGAAGTACTTGATGGCCGTGCATGCAGAAGGAGAGAGAAAGACGAGAACCCAACTGTTCTTTGCGAAGAAGTTCGTCGCCGATGTATACCAACTCAGCGAATGGCCCCATGGAGCTACCCGACAATGTCGGAACCGGCACGGGACGGCGGACGAAGGTAAGCTGAGCGAGGTCCACCCTTTTGATAGCTTCCCTTCTTCATAGCAGAACAAAAATCATTTCTGGAGATACCGCTGTGACACGCAGAACCTTGCAGGCTCAGTGTTGGTCTACAGCTTGGAATGCGACAGCGTCCTCCGGCACCCGGAGATAACCCACCCTCTCATCGCCACGCAAGATAGACTCTGCCGAAGGCTGCCGGCAGCAGGCAAAGGCGGCGGCGGTGGCGCAACACCGGAGCAAAATTTCAAGCCCTGCGATCCCATTGATGCAAGCAAAAGTGAAGAAAAAAAGTCAAAAAAAAAATTGGTAGCTTCTCTTTGATTGAGCGTGTCATCCTTAGTGCAGGGGCCATGCTAATCTTCTCTGTCTGTGAAGGATGTTAGTGTGTGTTTTGAGCGGTTGAACGGGGTGCCTTCAGGGAGCAGAACGTACATCGTTTCAAATTGACCAAATGCCCGAAGGCGAAAGTAGTACCATTTACTTTGCTACATAAGGCCTGGGCAAGTGCGGGGTGGGGTCCGTTTGTGCCGGCGCCCCGTGCATGCCCCGCGCAGGCACTGGCACTGGGGCGGGGCACACCACCAGTGCTGAATTTCAGGCCTCTGGCCTGAGTGGCATTGGGCGGCCACGCCTAGACAGTCAAGACAGTAGGTATTCTGCTCTCTGCAGCACTGCAACGACTCCTGAATCTCGTGAGCATTGCTTGTAAGCAAGCGCTGAAGGCCAATATGATCAAGTCCATATCTCGTGGATGTTGCCACTGGCATGGCTATGGTTCGCAAGCAAGCCACGCCAGGTGCAAACCACCACCAGACTGAGTGAGGCACACGCAGTCCTTTTGCAGTCTTTGGCATCCTACCTCTACCTCGAAATGAAATCGCAGTCTGCAGGCAAGCATACTCGATACAAGCTTGAGGCTAAATTGATTGTGCAATGCATCTGCAGAAAGAAGGGAATCAAGATCGCAGGAAGAAACTCGCCTGCTCGAAAATGGGCACTGGCTGTGCATACAAGGAGAGATTTCGAGGGATGAGGGGAGAACTGGTGGGATGGATGGAAATCTCTCATTAGGGTTGTTTATTCCCGACATGCTCAACCACGCGAGAATGCCCCTCTCCCCCTAACCCCTCTCGTCCTCCAAGCAAGCCCGGCAGGCAGCTTGCAGTGGGACGGTCACTGGCGCACTGACTGTGCCGACTGCGATCAAGTCGGCATCTGATAGTTGAACCATCACTGGTATACCTTGTCAAGACTGAAAGCATTGTTCCATGGCTTGCTGGCTACCTTGTACAAGATGATCAGTCCGCGAACGTTTACTGTGAGTTGCCTCCTTTGAAGTTTGATCACCACCCTGGCGCGACTGGCGTCCACTGGGCCACTGGCACTACTGTGCCGGCTGAAGTATCTTATCAGCCTTGCATTAGCGGCTCTTGCCTTAAAGCCAGCCTGTCGTCGCCTTATCGGTAAGGTTCTGGTACTTAAAGAGGTACCTAGGTAGCTCCTTGAAGCTCCCAGCTTAACAGCCTGGCTGCGACGAACGGTCTCCTCAAGAAACCAGACATTCGCCGCGTTCGAGTCGCCCTTGGACTATCATGCGTATCTAAGCACCATGTCCTTCACACATGCGCCAGTGACGCGCACTCTGGTGTATGGACTTATTGGCATGTCCATTGCCGCCAGCCTGCTCGACATCAAGCACTACTTCTACATCATCGTCGACCTGCATCTTTGGAGATTCCACCAAACATGGCGAGCCCTCATCTACCAACTGTGCTACACAAATTCCGCCGAAGTTCTCTTCGCTGCCATGACCCTGTACAATATGCGATTTGTTGAGAGGTTCTGGGGCTCCAGGAAGTATGCTGTACGTACCTCTGGCCAGGCGGGACTCCATACTTCGCCCTTGGGTCCCTGAGCTGCATGCTAACATGGACATTCGCAGACATTTGTTTTTGTTGCCTTTGTGCTCACGAGTATCTTGACACCTACCATCCTCGCCCTCGTTCTGCGCCCCCTTACGTTCGGGCTCTTCAACTACCTCCCAGCGGGGCCAACGCCGATCATCTTCGCGATACTAGCGCAGTACTACGCCATGATCCCACCTACCTACAAGTATAGAGTGGCTACCTCGATCTCGTCCTCGCGGCCGAACGACCAAACACAAGGGATTACGTTCTCCGACAAATCCTACCGTTACCTTCTCGCCGTCCAATTGGCACTCTTCCAATGGCCCGGTTCGTTACTTGGTGCCCTACTTGGCTGGGTGGTGGGCTATGCTTGGAGGATGGAGGTTCTGCCGCGATCCTTGACACGTTGGAGGCTACCGGGCTGGATCGTTGGCATGCAACCACAGCGGAGAAGCGAGGAACTCGAGGAACTACGCCGGCGACTCGAAGACGAAGGCGCGTCGGCAGCATCTGCATCCGGTGTCGAAGGACAAGCCACTGGCGAAGGCGGAAGGCGTAGGGGAGCGGGCCAGTAGGCATCGGACCTACTCCCGGGGGCATTATAGATAAGAACACAACATCAGCATTTTAACAAATTCGGCGTATTTCCACCCCTTCGTGGGATCGGGCGGTTCGTTGTTCTTCGAAGACGTAATTTTCTATGTCAACACATATGGCGGGGCTCGTCTTCGCGCCAGTGATCTGGGAATATGCTACCACGTCCGTGGTGTCGGTTCAGACAAGACAACCGCAAGAGGCTGTGCTGCGGAAACACGTCTTTCGCGGTCTATGGCGCTCTGATGGAATCCCACCCGCGAAGAATGCACTTTGAAAGGACAAATGCATACCTTATGCGCTGCAGGGCGAGACTGTGCCAACGGGACACCCATCCATGTCGAATCAGAATATGATGAAGGCCATCAAACGACCCCTGTCCCATGGCGTCCCACGGCGTCCCACGGCATCCCATCCGGCCGTGCCTCAGCTGCAAGTGTGCACACGGCGGCAAGTCTGGGCCTCCGGAAAGCGAGATTGGCAATTCCAGATACGCGAACATGTGGCATTCTGACGCGTGAAGTCTGGATTGCTCATCTCGGCCTCAGTGACGTGCCCGCTCGTCTTCGAGACGTGTTGGACATTTTTCCAGTCTCTGAGACACCTGAAACATAATACAGATGCGAAATACGGGCCGCGTAGGCCACTCCCCGGATTTTGCGTGGTCCCTTAACGGCCGTCTCTTACGGAGTATCCTTTGCAGACTTGGCACTCCATATCCGTTCCCGCTCCATCAGCGATCTTGCAGCACTGGCTTGACTGGGTTGACTGGGATGAGATCTGCGGACACCGGACAGCCGGACAGCAGGTCCTGGCACCCATGATGCCGCCGAGCTGGTGTTCGTTGCTTGTTGTAGCGGCTCGATTCTGTTCCGTGAAGTTGTTATGCAAATGACACAAACATCCGCATAACATGTATGCTGCTTTTTTGGGTTATTTTTAGACATTCCTTTCGATGTGGAAACCGATCGGGACGTTGGCAGAACGCCAGAATCACTTGCAGTGGGATAAGCGCTGTGGTGGTCCTGTCAGTGCTCCACCCAGGCTG